TAAAAAAAAGCCCCAAAAAATTAAATCTAATCAAAAATTTTATTGCAATAATTTGAGTCTGTGATCCAATCCATAACATTAAAAACTTAGAAATTAAAAAAATAAAAAAAATACTCAAAAATCAACTGATATTTACTTCCACCCACTTTTTTCCTCTCTCTCCCTCCCGGTTAAAAATAAAAAATAAAAAATAGAAATAAAAGTTAAAATTAAACTCTTTCTCTCTCTCTCTGTTGTAAAAAATAAAAGTAAAAGTTGAAATTTCTTTTTTGACAATATCACATCTTTCTTTCGTCTCCCTCTTATATAAAAAATTAAAAATAAATTAATTTTTTTAAAAAAATAATACTAAAAATAAAAAAAAAATTATTTAATATTTTTATTTTAGGCCTCGAATTACTTTAAACCGCCCTGGAGCTGACATTCCCACCGGAGTATTTCTGGATCGACATTGGCTTTCCCTAAGCAGATGTCTCCCAAAAGTTCCAATCCATTCGGTGTACCAGTGCCAAGAAAAGCATCGATACAAGTGACTTTTTTTAGGTGAGAAATTATGATTCAAAAAGTTTTACAAAAAAATTCGTGTCAAAAAAAATTCTCAANGTCGTGTTATTCGTGTCGTGTTCGTGTTAAAACTTAAAAAAAAAAATCTATTTTTTGTATTATGAGTATTAAGCATTAGGTTATACTACTTATTTTGCGTATTTAATAATCGTGTCAATTTTATAATCGTTCGTATCGAATTCATGTTAACGGGATAGAGCTGGAAGGCCGGCCCAACAATATCAAAAAAAAAAAACATGGGCTTTATGACCTAAGTTTTTAGAAGGTCCCATAATTTTAGGTACATCACTAGTCCATAAAAAAAATTAAATTCATTAAATTTTAAGCCTTAAAAAAAAGCCCCAAAAAATTAAATCTAATCAAAAATTTTATTGCAATAATTTGAGTCCATGATCCAATCCATAACATTAAAAACTTAGAAATTAAAAAAATAAAAACAATACTCAAAAATCAACTGATATTTACTTCCACCCACTTTTTTCCTCTCTCTCCCTCCCGGTTAAAAATAAAAAATAGAAATAAAAGTTAAAATTAAACTCTTTCTCTCCCTCTCTGTTGTAAAAAATAAAAGTAAAAGTTGAAATTTTTTTTTTGACAATATCACATCTTTCTTTTGTCTCCCTCTTATATAAAATATTAAAAAAAAATTATTTAATATTTTTATTTTAGGCCTCGAATTACTTTAAACCGCCCTGGAGCTGACATTCCCACCGGAGTATTTCTGGATCGACATTGGCTTTCCCTAAGCAGATGTCTCCCAAAAGTTCCAATCCATTCGGTGTACCAGTGCCAAGAAAGGCATCGATACAAGTGACTTTTTTCAGGTGAGAAATTATGATTCAAAAAGTTTTACAAAAAAATTCGTGTCAAAAAAAATTCTCAAAAATTATTTGAGATATTATTTAAAAAGTTGAAAAAAATTAGAAAAGTCTGTNCTTCATTAGGTTAATGTCGGTCATTTTAAAGGTGATTATTTTTTTTTTTAATATGCAAACCATAAAAGTGTAACAATAACAATATAATAAGATACTTACACAAAATATTGTACTATTACATTTTGTCAAACATATATTTGTATATAATTTCATTCAAACAATCTAACTCTGTTTTGAATTTGTTACCATATCTATAAAACCATCCAACATTATCTTTGTTACAGTGTATTGTTACACTATTTTTGTTATACTATGAGGGAAACACTGTCAGCAAGTAGGAGATACATATAGTTTATTCACATACANAGAATGGTGTAATTAATAGTTTGCTTTCCTAAGTCGCGTGTCAGAAACGGCATGCGTCTTCTCTGTTTCGATGTGATATCATTTGTCACGCGTCCATCTCTTAATGGCTGTGACCCCTGCATTCCAGTACGTTCTGACACTAATTGTGTNTCGTATGTATCTTCAAATGACGAACAAATCTTCGAAAAATAGATATTGTTGATAATCTTACATCAAATGGGCTGAATAATAGAATTTTTCCTTCAAAAACGAAACCCTATAGATGCTCAGGGAACAAAAACTTTAAGCCAAAAAAAACACCAAAATCAAAATAAATGTAATGTATTTTGATTTTGGATAACTCGATGTCAAAAAAAAAAAAGTACATAAAATGACGAAGTTCAATGATCACCTTATTAGTTGGTCAAAAAAAAAAATGATCACCTTATTAAACGCAGGCCAACGAGCAACAATCAACGCATGTTTCAGGTTTACAAATGCTGAAGTTCGAAAGTTTCTTTAAATCGTAAACAAATCTTTCACCATTCTTGAGTTTGTGCCAATCTAACACCAAATTCTCTGTGAATCGATGTACCTTGCACAGTTGAAACCCTCTCCTTGTTCATGGAAGACAAATAGTTGGAAAGTTTCTCCTAAAAAGATCAATCGATTTTCTGTGAGGAAGGAGTATACAAAATGATTACTGAAGATTGAAAGATTTCGAAATGAATGTCACTAAATTTCAACAGTTAAGATAACTGGCTTATTAAATTTTTTAGGAAAGAAAATTTTACAAAATAGACATTTAGGTCTTTGTATCTCAGTAGTGTACNTATTTCATTTATTTATACATTAAACATCTCATAATTTTATGATATATCATTTTATTTGAATTTTAAATTTGAAACCCTGACATTTGTGGTGTATACGTCTTCTTCGACCGGGCAGACAAAGACACTACATTTTATTTTTGGAAACTGATTTATTTTTGGATTTTATTTGTGCGATTTATTTTTGGAAACTAATTTTTTTTCCCAGATTATGTGTATGCATTAAAAATCTCCTAATTTAATTGAAGATTTGATTTTTTGATTCTTCCATTTATTTTGAGGATAAATCAGTTGGTTTAAATTTTAAATTTTACAACAACATTTTTTGTTATCTTCTTCTTTTTCGGCCTAGAAGTCATTTATCAGTACAAGTCTAAAAACATTATTTCATCCTTATCATTCAAAATAATTATAAGGTTTGAATTCATGATTTCATTAGGTTAATGTCTGTCATTTTAAAGGTGATTATTTTATTTTTTAATATGCAAACCATAAAAGTGTAACAATAACAATATAATCAGATACTTACACAAAATATTGTACTATTACATTTTGTCAAACATATATTTGTATATAATTTCATTCAAACAATCTAACTCTGTTTTGAATTTGTTACCATATCTATAAAACCATCCAACATTATCTTTATTACAGTGTATTGTTACACTATTTTTGTTATACTATGAGGGAAACACTGTCAGCAAGTAGGAGATACATATAGTTTATTCACATACAATAAATTAATATGATAGAAATACATGGCAGAAACATCGCATTTTCACACAGGTTAATGATCAACTTCAACAAATTGGTTATGGTCTTTAAATGCCGAAGTTCGTATGTATCTTCAAATGACGAACAAATCTTCGAAAAATAGATATTGTTGATAATCTTACATCAAATGGGCTGAATAATAGAATTTTTCCTTCAAAAACGAAACCCTATAGATGCTCAGGGAACAAAAACTTTAAGCCAAAAAAAACACCAAAATCAAAATAAATGTAATGTATTTTGATTTTGGATAACTCGATGTCAAAAAAAAAAAAGTACATAAAATGACGAAGTTCAATGATCACCTTATTAGTTGGTCAAAAAAAAAAATGATCACCTTATTAAACGCAGGCCAACGAGCAACAATCAACGCATGTTTCAGGTTTACAAATGCTGAAGTTCGAAAGTTTCTTTAAATCGTAAACAAATCTTTCACCATTCTTGAGTTTGTGCCAATCTAACACCAAATTCTCTGTGAATCGATGTACCTTGCACAGTTGAAACCCTCTCCTTGTTCATGGAAGACAAATAGTTGGAAAGTTTCTCCTAAAAAGATCAATCGATTTTCTGTGAGGAAGGAGTATACAAAATGATTACTGAAGATTGAAAGATTTCGAAATGAATGTCACTAAATTTCAACAGTTAAGATAACTGGCTTATTAAATTTTTTNACATGATTTTGACATTTAATAACTCAGAGATCTCAGGTTTAATCCCTTTTTATACTCTTTAAGGGCTAGTCTTCTTGTCCTTTTAGGGACATACTCTAACCCAACTGAAACTACAGTGGTCAACTGTTGAGGTTTGAGAGAGTAAGTCGACACAAACTTAGATATCCTATAGATAAAAAAAATACACTATACAGACAGTGGGATGGAGGCAGCCCTGCAGCAGATATGGCTGGTGGAGGGATTAGAAGAATGGCATGGCCAGATCAAAATTGAAATGAGGGGTGTCAATTAAGTTATGTTACATAATTTTTGTTTTGTGTTATTTTGAGTAGTATTAATTCAAATTTTGGTTTAGGGCGTCTGCTTGTTAATATATATTTGTGTAAAGAAAATAGTATTTAATGTTAAAATAATTGATGCAATATTATATAAAAAATAAAAATAATGAAAAATGCTCATTTGTTTTTACAATAAGAGTTAAACGGGTTATTCATGTCTAAAACTAACCAATCTATTTATTTCTCGTGTTAATAAATTGATAAATCATGTTATTTTTTAGTGTTTATCAGATTGAGTTTGTGTCGAACTTGATTATTCGGTAAGATTGACAACCTTTACTAGAACCATAGATTCCATCACATGGGGTCATAGCCTTATAGCTTTGAGACAAACTAGTGTCCCAAACATGTCTTAACTTGGGGTATGTGTCACCAAAAGGCTCAGATACCATGTGACCTAATTGAGGCATTTGTAGCATCCCAGAGGGACCTTAAAGGGTCAAGGACCCCAGTTGCCCTTCCCTTTGCAATTATAGCAAATGCCCTTAATAATGAAGCACAAGTCACTTTTCTTTTTTGTTTTTTTTTCGCTTTTTTTTTTTTGAAGAAGGAGAAAGAAAGGAACAACTAATAAGTAATAACCCTTTTGGGCATAACCAAGAGTGTCTTTCTACTGTGGAATACCTGGTTTGAGTTATAACTACTAACCCAAAAGAGCAGGCCATCACCACAACACCACCAAAGTCAACCAACAAACTACGTTGTCTCCGTGAATCAAACTTTATTTGATAACTACGATACACTTTTCATTCACTCCCAATTCCTTTTCCATTTGTAAATAATTTACAACCAATCCAATAACATTCATATAAACTATGCAGTATGATCAAACCCTTCATCATCAGAAGACTATAGACTATTCAAATAGTTGTTCAAGCCAAGAGCCAGAAATCTTTGTGCCTCTTGGTGGTGATCAAGTAACCACCAAGTTTCCTGCTCTTCCTCCTCACTGCAATGGTCATGCAACTGGCATTCTGGATGCAGTACTCCACCACCCCGCAGCTAACCCGATTCCCCGCCCACGTCATCAATAGCCGCCATGTCATGGACTGCTTCTTCTGCCCTAGAACCAGTAATGCCACCCCTTGCTTCCTGGCCTCTTCCACTATTGCTGGACCTTTCTCTTGGCCTTCTGCCACAGCAACCTCAATTTGTACCTGCCCCGCCAATCTCTTTCACTTTGTTATCAATGCTAAAATATAAAAGTGATACATCAAGTATACCATTTTCTCTTTTCATTTTGTTGCTTTAATCCCTGGAGTTTGAGTTTTTTGTCACTTTAGTCCAATTAACAATAATTGTTTGAATTAACTATTAGTAATAACCATATGCGTATATCAACACCATACTCGAAGGATCATTTGGTCCATCCAGTTTTCAATTTATATCATTTTGGTCCTCACTATTTTCATTTGACCACTTGGTCCCTCAAATTGCCAAAGAATACCTCTTACGTACAATATGCACGTAACGATTTCTGCTAGTTTATATAACTCTCGTTTTCAGTTGGACCAATACAACACAAATAAGAAGTTTGTGAACTAAACTAACAAAATTAAAACAATGAGAACCAAATTGATTACTCTCTCAAGACTGCATCAAGTTCACAACTCACATAATGTTCAACATGACTATAGAGTTTGAAATTTTTTCTATTTAAATGCTAATATAGTTCTTGCCCACCTCAGGTCTCTTCAGTTGAGACATCTTCTTCATAGAACAGAGAAATTCAGAAACTCTTGGAGCTATCTCCTTGACGGACTCCTCACCTATAGGAAGAAATAAACATCCCCCATGTAAATTATCCTCCACATATATAACTCAAAATTGCCATAAATAGGAAGGAAAATGAAAATCATCAAAAGGGTCAAATCCAACCTTGCTTAGAAGGCTTGCTAACATAGAGAAGAATCAATGTATCTTGGCTCTGAACAGTGTGAGTCAATGCCCACTGCAGTGCATTCTTAGCTTCAAGGCTCGAATCAACAACAATCATGATTTTCCGGCCAATAGTCATCACCGGTGGCGGTTTTGCACAATCACCACCTTTTTCTTCTCCAACATTGCCAGCAGAATCATTCTTCACCTCATCATCAGTTCTTGTAGAATTATTTGAGAGGCTTTTGGATTGAACAGTTGGTGATCGAACTCGAACATGAGGCCTAATCCTGTTTAAGCAGAAACTAGGCATTTTCGCCCCCGTTCGACCCATCTCCCTAAGATGGGTCCTAAGTCCAAACTCCTATGAAACACCACCACCAGCTTTAATGGAAGGAGAGAGAGATATAAGAAGAAGGAAATGAAAATTTTCACACTTAAGGCTTAGTCTTTGGGACTCTCTGGGCCATGTTTTATTTCTCTTTGCCTCTTACTTTTTTCTTCTTTTGCTGTTTAATCATTTTGGTTCTTCGTTGTTCTTTTGTTTTTGTTTGTGTGGGACAACGTTTGAACGTGCCTGTCATGAATCTGTAGGGCCATACCTTTTGGGAGTAGTTAAGCTTTGGGAAGTTTGGGTTGTTTTTTTTTTTTTTAATTGGTGGAATACATTTTACTCTTCTGTCACATTAAACAAACAAAAAAACAGTAGGAAAAAGTAAGTGTCGGCAAGGCTGGGCCGGGCTGCATGGCCCACTAATTAGTGGGCCTATGCTCGTATATGGGCCAGGCTCACCCAACCCATTTGAGTTGTCAACGCGATGGGATGGGATAAGATGGACCAATCTGGCATGAATAAAAAAAGCCCACAACTTATCTATTGAGCTAGACCAGTGATGATAAATGGCTTATAATGTGTTGTCTAGGGGCGTTAATCAAGACAAGTTACTTAAACTCGGTTCAGATAAAAATCTACTCGAGCTCGATTCATGTTCTAAATGAAATGAGTTTGAATAAATTTTTAGGCTTATTTAGAACAACGAGCTTAAAAGGCTCGGCTCGTTTATATATAAAATAATCGAGTCATTCAGGCTCAACACGGGCACGAGCTCAACTTAAATTTTAAATGAGTCGAACTTGAACAATTTTTTATGTTCGTTTAAAAAAACAAGCTCATTAGGCTCAGACTCAAACTCGCAAAACTTAGCTCGATTAACACTCCTTGTGACGTCTTATTTTATTATATAGATTTAATATATACTATATAAAAATTATGAAATTATTAGTTGGATAAGTAAATTAAACATAAGCATATAAAACATCATTTTTACTAATTTAGATAAAACTTCGAAAGTCTTCAGAGTTTTTTGGTGAAGACGTGAAAATTTTTAGGGCACAATTTATACTTTTTTTGTAAATAACTTAAAATTAAAATCAAATAATTTTTTTTTTCTCACATGCCATTATACCAGCAAATTAATGAATTTGATATGCAAATCCAATCTTCTTAGGTTGGGCCAGCTCATCTTGCCGAGACGGGCCAAAAATGAGGCCACAGACAAGACCAACCCATGGACCAGGGCCAAACGTCGAGCCATACAAATGAAAGTTGCCCATTTTAGAGGAGAACAGGTTAGAAGGATACCTTTGCCTATGATTGCATGGCCAAGCATCTTGGCACAGTGGCGGGCCGAGATTCTAAAAAATTAGGCTTAATGTTTGTTCTTGAACAACGGAAGTGGATAGACATTAAGGGAGAGGGATATAATCCTTTATTTTTGTAATCGCCAAAATTGATACTTTAAGGTTTGATTCTATCAGTCCGGTTTAGAAAGTGACCATGATTGTCATGTTGCATTTAACTCCAGTAAGATGCTGGAAAATTGGTTCAAGATCTCCACGAAATCAAAACAATCTATTGATTCTATATCTAATGCAACCTATAGTGATTCAAATTTTCTTTTTGATATGTGGTGTGTATTTATCTACGTCTGGGTGCAAGCCAAAGCTAAGGATTAAGATCAACCAAACACGATGGCATATAGAGTTAGAGACATTACAAGGGTAATTGTTCCCCCTCAAAAGGGGAAATCATAACATCGACCTTTACTCCTTTACAACTCCCTTTGGGCTATCCCCGGGATTTAATATGGTAATTACATGGTGCATCGAAAAACGGGATTGGTTAAGAATAGGAAATTATTTTTTTTTCCTTTTGGATTGCGTTATTTTTTTTTCCTTCTACAAAGCTTCTACATTCATGTGTTTGTAATATTCACACATAATGTTACATATATGTTATTACTAATTCAAATTGTTTGCTTAGATTAAAAAAAAAAAAAAGTCAAACACAATGGTGAATGCTAGCTACAAAGGAAAAAAAAAAAAGCAAGTTGTTCTGTCGACGAAAAATAAAATACAGATGGCCAATTGGTATAATTGGTCATTTGCCCATTCAAAACTTAATTAATTTTTAAAAAAGTTATTTATCATTCACAATAATATATGTTTCTTATTTACTTTTTAGGCAATCGATATTAATGTTTAACAAAATATCAATTGGCGCAACGTGCATGTCAGGAACGAAAAAGATCGAAACGTCCATCCAATCAATCTAGATTTTATTCTTCCTTAACACCGAGTCATCGCCATCAAGCTCAAATGCAACAATCATTAATGAAGAGACCTTGCAATCAACCGACGCCTGTGACTGTGAAACTTCTCCACTTATAGCAAAACAAATTGTGCCAACAAATATCCTGTTGTCAACGTATGTGACAACAATGCTCCGGGGGATGCCTGCACATAATCTCAACGGGTCCAATTTTGGTGAAGGAACCTTGACACATTTGGAATCACCCTACAATATCACTATTTCTGGTCATGTAAGTTATATATGTATAACATTCTTTCTAATCCTCTCCTATAAGTATTCTCATACGCATTATAGTTTTTTCAACCATTTTTACTAATGGATATTGACCTAGCACACACAGTAAGCTAATCTTCTTATCATTCATTTTCTTACTTCTTATAGGTGTTTAATTCTTACTGCTTATCATTGAATTTAGCATTATCCTTCTTTGATTTCTAGGTCCAGTTACTCCGTCAAAAAAAATATTGGCGTTGTAATTAGTGATGCACGTGATCTTTACTGTCTTCACTTAGTTGAAGAGGTGACACGTCAATTGGTTTTAGTATTATTATGAACTCTTTTCTACTGCAATAATTCTTAATTTATACATTTTATTTTTTAAAAGGAAAAACGAAAATCAAATGCAGTGGCAACATCCAGCACTACAAAATGAAAAGGAAAAGAGAATATAGATCCATAAGTGGTATGTTTGCTTATATGTTTTTCTTAAAAAAATATTTATGATGTATTCCATTATTGTTCAACCACAGACTTTTGTACTACAATTCTTATATCCTTATTCGCTTTATAATTTTAAATTTATTGTAATTTTTTTAAAAAATTATTCTTTAGGAAATCAACGACAATGTTTTATCAACACGTCAATTGACACAACGTGCACATCGAGAACAGGAGAGATGTCAATTAAAAGAATCAACTGTGTATGTAATAGAACAAATTGTGCCAATAGNAGAAAAAAAAAAGCAAGTTGTTCTGTCGACGAAAAATAAAATACAGATGGCCAATTGGTNCTTTTGTACTACAATTCTTATATCCTTATTCGCTTTATAATTTTAAATTTATTGTAATTTTTTTAAAAAATTATTCTTTAGGAAATCAACGACAATGTTTTATCAACACGTCAATTGACACAACGTGCACATCGAGAACAGGAGAGATGTCAATTAAAAGAATCAACTGTGTATGTAATAGAACAAATTGTGCCAATAGATTTTTCAGAGTCATCATCTGTGAACATAATGCTTCGAGGAATGNTGGTATAATTGGTCATTTGCCCATTCAAAACTTAATTAATTTTTAAAAAAGTTATTTATCATTCACAATAATATATGTTTCTTATTTACTTTTTAGGCAATCGATATCAATGTTTAACAAAATATCAATTGGCACAACGTGCATGTCAGGAACGAAAAAGATCGAAACGTCCATCCAATCAATCTAGATTTTATTCTTCCTTAACACCGAGTCATCGCCATCAAGCTCAAATGCAACAATCATTAATGAAGAGACCTTGCAATCAACCGACGCCTGTGACTGTGAAACTTCTCCACATATAGCAAAACAAATTGTGCCAACAAATATCCTGTTGTCAACGTATGTGACAACAATGCTCCGGGGGATGCCTGCACATAATCTCAACGGGTCCAATTTTGGTGAAGGAACCTTGACACATTTGGAATCACCCTACAATATCACTATTTCTGGTCATGTAAGTTATATATGTATAACATTCTTTCTAATCCTCTCCTATAAGTATTCTCATACGCATTATAGTTTTTTCAACCATTTTTACTAATGGATATTGACCTAGCACACACAGTAAGCTAATCTTCTTATCATTCATTTTCTTACTTCTTATAGGTGTTTAATTCTTACTGCTTATCATTGAATTTAGCATTATCCTTCTTTGATTTCTAGGTCCAGTTACTTCGTCAAAAAAAATATTGGCGTTGTAATTAGTGATGCACGTGATCTTTACTGTCTTCACTTAGTTGAAGAGGTGACACGTCAATTGGTTTTAGTATTATTATGAACTCTTTTCTACTGCAATAATTCTTAATTTATACATTTTATTTTTTAAAAGGAAAAACGAAAATCAAATGCAGTGGCAACATCCAGCACTACAAAATGAAAAGGAAAAGAGAATATAGATCCATAAGTGGTATGTTTGCTTATATGTTTTTCTTAAAAAAATATTTATGATGTATTCCATTATTGTTCAACCACAGACTTTTGTACTACAATTCTTATATCCTTATTCGCTTTATAATTTTAAATTTATTGTAATTTTTTTAAAAAATTATTCTTTAGGAAATCAACGACAATGTTTTATCAACACGTCAATTGACACAACGTGCACATCGAGAACAGGAGAAATGTCAATTAAAAGAATCAACTGTGTATGTAATAGAACAAATTGTGCCAATAGATTTTTCAGAGTCATCATCTGTGAACATAATGCTTCGAGGAATGTCTCCACAAAATGTTAGGGAAGGCGTCACGACGCATTTGGAACCACGCTCTAGATGTCCTATAGAAATTTCTGAACATACTGTAAAATAAACTGTGGCAACAANCCTCCACAAAATATTAGGAAAGGCGTCACGACGCATTTGGAACCATGCTCTAGATGTCCTATAGAAATTTCTGAACATACTGTAAAATAAACTGTGGCAACAAATGATGTTGGGCCATCCCACGTGATTTCCATGTTACAAGCAGTGCCCAATTTGAACAAAAACACTACAACAGAAGCTAACCAACCCTATAGGTGTTTGTTA